CCTTCTCTGCCCACGGGGGCCAGGATTTGAGAACCAGGCTCTCCAGCCACCTCGATGTGATGGGAGAGGCAGCAGATGGGACAGGAGAGTTGAGGGCTGGACGGCTCCCCAAGGTAACTAGATGGTGGGCAGTGCCGTGCTGTGGTTCAGGGCACGGACCTGCACGAACCCCAGCCCTGGCCCAGGGACCTGTGGGAAATCACGTTTCCTCCTGAGCTCCGGCTTTCTCATCAATGCAGTCGGAGCGCTGACAGGGACGCAGCGCCGGCGAGCGGCGGTCGTGAGTGTTGGGTGAGGTTGTCATGGGAAGAGCTACATGATGCCGGCTGCCCGGCACGGGAGAAGCCCTCGATGAGAACCAGCTACTGCTATTATTCTACCTGCTCATCGTGGGCCAACAAGCCACTGCTGTACAGGACAAGCACGGGAATGTTCCATTCTAAGGGGCGCAGCTAAATGCTTAAGCGGGTGCCTGGAAGGGACTGTCCCAAAGCTAATGAATCGGCGTCACAGTCAGTCTGGGGAGAACAGGGCACAGAGCAGCTGGGGGAGGGGGTGGGGGGAGGCGGGGACTCTGAACAGTGCGCTGAGCCTCACAGAACGGTCACAAGACGCCGAAGCGACCACTGCAACAAGAATTCCACAGAGGATAAGCTGCGGGCACTCTGGAGGTGAGTCGGGGATGCAAATAAGAATTGGGGGAAATGGTCAGAAAATGTCACCTTCCGAAAAGAAAACGGGCAAAAGTCAAATTAACCACCCATGCTGCCTGCTGGCTTTCCCCCCCCCCCTTTTTTTTTTAGCATATTCAGAAGTGTGGACATCTAGTGTGCAGTGCACACAGTGCTCGCAAAGCGTGTGGAAGATTTAAGCACAGATCAACCACAGACAGCAGAATGATCACAAGGCAAAAAATAAGAAACCATAAAAATTTAAAGTAACTTTATGGTGAATACTACCAGTAGAAATAACTAACAAAAAAAGAAATCAATAATGGCTTAAAAAATGTACATGGTAAAATATTAAATCACCAGGAAAATTTGACTTAGTGGATATAACAGTTCTGTAAGAAAATTCATATTGCAATGTTTGTGATATAAAAAACCAGTTATAAATTTTATGTAGAGAAAGCAATTACTCCAATAAAAATAATTTTAGTAAAATAAAAATGTAAGTGGGAAAAATTGGAAATGGTTTAGCTTTGCAATAGAGAAAATTGACTATGGTCTTAAATCGGTGTAATAGTGTCCTCAGAAAGTATTTTCTTCAACAGAAATCCATTGGTGCTGTTAAAATTGCAATTATAATGTTTCTACTGTGAAACACAGAATGAAGAGTCTTTGGGGGAAAAGTCTGGCAAGTGGAATAGGTGCTGACACCATCCTGTCCCCATGGAAGTCCTCCCAGGCCCTGGGCTCTCTGGGCCGGTGCAGACGGGGCTGCCAGCAGGGCCTGTGCCTCCCCAGCACCCAGAGCCACCGAGCCGCCTTCCTAACCCTCCTCCAGGGAGGTCCACTCTGAGGCCTAATTTAGGAGTCGGTGCGAGATAAACTCTAGTCTTAGAAATAGTGATTAGCTCTGTGTACTACAAGAACGCGTTTTGTATGAGAATTTGACTGAAAGAGTAGGGGTGGGAAGATGAGAGAGGAAGAAGGAAGAGGAGGAAAAGAGAAGGAGGAGGCCGAAACCGGTTTGGCTCAGTGGATAGAGCGTCAGCCTGCGGACTGAGAGGTCCCGGGTTCGATTCCGGTCAAGGGCATGTACCTGGGTTGCGGGCACATCCCCATGGGGGATGTGCAGGAGGCAGCTGATCGATGTTTCTCTCTCATCGATGTTTCTAACTCTCTCTATCTCTCTCCCTTCCTCTCTGTAAAAAATCAATAAAATATATATTAAAAAAAAAAAAAAGATGCAATGGGATTGCAACTCCTTTTGAAAAAAAAAAAAAAGAGAGAAGGAGGAGAGGAAGAGGAGAGGAGGGGGAGGAGAGGTGAAGATGGAGGAGGGGGGGAGGGGGAGAAGTAAGAGGGAGGGCTGGAGGAAGAGAGGGACAAAGAGAGAGGGAGGGCAAGAGACAGGGAGGAGGGACACACACACGCACAGACGCACGCACGCACGCACGCACGCACGCACGCACGTCGCACTGTCTGGCAGAGCGGTGTTCTAGCCGGTAGCACAAGTGCCCAGTGAACAGTGTTCAGGCTCTGCCACAGCGCAGGCGACTTTCTGAAGTCCACCAGCTTCCTCGGATCCGATTGCACCTCCCCGGCAGGATCACTTCTTGGTGTCAGGGCTACCTTGTCACAGGAGAGCTTCCTAAGTAACTCGCCTTGTTTTGGGAGCCCCACAGCCAGACAGGTCCCATTTCAGCCCGCGGCTGACTTCCTGGCTTTTGCTTCCTTAGGAGGGTCGGGGCAGGGAAAGAAGGTGCACGGTGCACGTGGGCGTGAGCAGAGCGAGGCCCGCTGCCTTGCTGCCCGGAGAGGTCCATCTCTAATCGACACAAAACGCTCTGATCCCAAACCAGTCGCTGAGTGTCTGGCTGTCCGAGTGAACTAAAGAAATGGAGTTTCTGAGACTCGTTTCCAAGCAGGACTCCAGGGACCCATTGAGGCCTCCCTGGGCCCCTGCTGCCCTTCTTTGCTGTCTATTTGGTGACAATATAAGTTACCGGGGACTTTCTTTCAGAAAAACACTGTGTAAGGCGTTTCAGGAGACTTGTCAAGACTGAGACACACAGCCTCCCGCTCACCAGGAGGCTGAAGGCGGAGTGTTCAGATCCTCGGCAAACCTTTAACGAGTTACCCAGAGGGCTGACTTCGGGCGGGTATTATGGGCTTCTAGAAGTAGAGGTATACTACAAATAATTAGAATTAATAACCCTAATAATAAAAAGTTTCTAAGTCTCATTTTTCATGTTTTTAGTTAGATAGCATAAAATAAATGTGCTAAGATTCCACTGAAACATAATGCTATTTTCCACAGAAATACATGGAGGGCTCGATATGAAGTATAAGAACCCCCAGTACCAGTGCTGCCGTCCGTTCCTACCACATTGCGGGTCGGTTTTTATGAGAATCCATGTTTGTGGACGGTGAAGAGAGAACTGGGTGGGGAAAGAGGATAATTTCTCTTAGAAAAGTACTACCATTCTCTGAGCTAACCTGACAAGAACGCTACAGGATGTGTGTCACGGTCCCCATTTACGGGTGAGAGCAGGAGGTGTGCCATTCAGAAGGTGCAGAAAGCCTAGGGTCACACAGCTCAGAGCGGGGAGCCCTTCTTCCTCCTCCCTCCTTCCCCTCTCCCTCCTTTATAGCTTCGGCGGGTGTACTGTGTGATAACTTACACACCGTGATAGTGTAGTTGTGATAGTGTAGTATCCATTACAAATGTGTACTAGAATGGTTTTAGCAAATTTATTATCACTGCAACCTAATTTTAGATCATTTTCATTACTCCAAACAGTCCTGGCATGTCTGTGTGCATCAACCCTCATCCCCCCACCCCCCAGCCCAGGCCGTCACCAACCTGCTTTCTCTCTCTAAAGATCTGCCCTTTCTGGGCATTTCATGTAAACAGAATCATATAAGCACAAAACACTTGTCTTTCGATCTGGCCTCTTTCACTTCGCATAACGTTTTAAGGTTCACCCACGTTGTAGCTACGTGCTCATGTGATGTGGCACAGACGACGCAGTTTCTATAGACTAGTCCTGTTCCCTGGAGGACACTGTGCCCGAGTCCCCTCTCTCCCCTCTGACATGTCAACCTGGAAAGAACGAGGGCTGAGACTTCTTCCATTTAACTTCTTCCCCACAAACGTGCCTGGAAGTGATCAAGTTCAGTGATAGCCTTAATAAATTATTAATGTGCTAGAAATGCAAAGCCTGAAAGCATGAATTATTTGAAATCCCAAGATGCAATGACTAAGAAGGAGCTGTATTTAAGGATTTTCCTCCCACTTCTTCCCTGCCTCAGGACACAGGAAGGCTGCTTCCCACCTGACTACTCGCCATGCACTCCCACCAGCAACTCCTTTACTGCTCTCCTCCCAGGAGACAGAGATGAAGAATAGAGGCAGAAGCTCAGAGAAGGACACAGCTGTGCCTCGGGGCCTGGGGATGGTGGGCCAGAGCAGACGCTCTCTACTGAGGCCCAGACCTGCACCCATTGCCCTGGGGCAAGGGGATCTTTCAGCCGAGTGAGGCTGGGCGAGGCGTCCGGGCGTCGGGGGAGCAGGGAGAGGACGTCTGCCCATGGTTTCTCATGCGTCACCTGACATTCACGGAGCCCTCACTGCCCTCCGCCATTCCTGTCCAATTATCACCGCACCCCCAAAGCTACAAGTTCACAAATGCACACTTCCCAGAAAAAGCTCTAATTTAATATAAAAAAGGACTTTAAAAGTTTGTTGTGTGAGGGATTAGGATTTGTTTTAATAGCTTTCAAGTGGATTGCGGTAAACTTCATCATAGGATCTCCTTATCTAAGGAAAACTGAAGCTATTCATCTCAATACATAGATCACAATACATATCTTAGCTATGCTGTAATAAAGAGATTCTTTCTGGTCACTGGCCGGAGAAATGAACCAGTAGTTTCAGGTTTAGTTTACAGTTTAGTCTCCGTTTCCAGGTTTATACGATGGGGCCAGAGTTAGGCTACGATCACCAGAGAGCCCAGAGCACAGGCACCGACCGCAGACCGGCAGGACCGACGTGGACACCTGGGTTTCATGGAAACAGCAGGACACGGAGCTCAGCGGCGATGCTCGGTGAGGGGCACGCCCAGCCGCCGCAGGGGCACCCGCCCTGTCTTACCTCTGACCACCTTCCATCCCACCTTCTACTCAGGTCATCCTGCGGGCAGAGTGCGTGAAGGCTTCGGAGACTCCGCCGCAGCTCCTCGTCCCCGGCAGCGCCCGGGCCCTCTCGCAGGGGCACCTGGGCTGGGCCCGGGTGGGAAGGGACCGAGGCTAAGGGCACATCTTCAGGGTTACCTATTTGCCTTTCCAGGTCGGCGGCTTCATCAGGCGTGGCTCGCGGAAGGACGCCGGGGTCACTGAAGCTGGTGCGAAGCAGGGTCCCCATCACGAAGAAGAACAGGATGCCACCAACCACGGGAATGGCAGGCGTGATTTTCACTGCGAGGTACGGGCAGCTGCCAGCAGGTGGGAAGGCGGGGGATGGGGGGAGAGAAAGGAAAGATAACGTCAGTAATCAGCAGTACGCAGTCTAGATTTTCCAAGAAGCTAAAGCCTTCTTTGGAGAAGCGAAATTGATTTCCATTAAAAATTCATCTATGCTCAGCATTTACATTTGGGGAGGCCTACCGTTCTCTCCTGCAGACAGTGTAACCCTCCCTCCCCCGCCACAACCAGCCAGGCCCTCGGCTCCCACAGCGCCACCCGCACAGACACTGGCGGGAGAATGGGAACAGCCTGCTGTCCGATCAACACCGGACATACAGACACAGCCATGGGTCTGTGACCTTCCTCCCATCCCTGGAGACACCAGAATGAGCTGGCCTTTCCTCACTGGGTCACACAACCTGGGGCTCAAGATGCTGAGAAATGCAGATTCACCCTCAAAAGGCAAAAAAAGATTTTTTAATCAATATTTTTGGAGTTTATCTATTAAAAGAGGTTAATGAGCTATGGAAATGAACTTGCAACCAGTCTCCAGAAAGAATGAAAGGGGGTTCGGTGGCTGGGATATTATAACCGCCTGCTCTCCAGGAAGGATTGGAGCTACCATTGCTGAGCACGGCCAGCGCATTCTGGGAAGCCCTTCATGGTCCCCAGCCCAGGAGCTGACGTGCAGCCAGGCGGAGGTGGCCAGGGAAAGGGTCCTTGGACAGACTCAAGTCCAGGCCAGCAGGGCTCTGAGGGCCAGGGGCCAGGAGCCAGGGCAGCTGGGTGCACCACGCCCTGGCCCACGGTCGCTGCCCCGACGCCACAGAGGGCGAGAGAGGCCGAGTGAGAATTAGCTCAGTGCCTGAGGCTGAGTGAAGGCGGGGTCTGCGTAGCCGTGGCCATCTATTGTCACCACGTTCAGCGCCATCACGGGCGCCGAGGAGCACAGCACGAAATCACAGAGCTGTAACAGCCAGAGGGAAAAGCGCCTCCCCGAGGCTCACCTCATCAGTGACTCTCTTCCAGGTACTGAAGGCGAAACTGGGGCTAGAGAAGGATGAGGAGGTGGCTGGGCTCGGTCGTGGGGGTGTTGGGGACCAGCACCCCATGCCCGTGCAGTGCTTACCGGGGGCTGGTAAGGCGCCTGATGGGATGGCAAGGCGATGTCCAGGCCTCAAGGACCACAGGCCATGATCCCCTTTGCCAGGGCCAGACACTGCGAGTCAGAGGCCGGGCCTCCAGGAGGATGGTGACGTGGACATAAGGGTGGCCACTGTGCACTGCAGGCCCACGGCCTCGCCTGAATGCCCTGCTCTGAAGAAACCCAGAGGCGTCCCGACTACTCTAAGAAGGTGGGCGGGGACCCCAAACACCACCAGGTGGGACTTCCTGCCAGGCAGGTGGCCTCCACAAGAGTCATGTGATTCAGAGACAAAAATATATGCCATTTCTAACATCTCTTCCTCTCTCCCACACCGAGCACCTGCAGAAACTGAGCAAAACAAACAAACGTCATGTCACCTCATCCGGACTGCCGGTTGTGACTTCTCTTCACAGGATTCATGGGAAACCATAAAAAAACCACTGTCACTCCTGCTCCAATGTGGCCCGCCCAAACTCCCAGATACTTGGAGCCTTTTTAACATCCTCAGGGATTCTCATAGGAAAACAAATTTAGCAAAGAGAGCAAGAAGATATAAAAAACTTGTCCTAGCTGGTTTTAGAGCATCGGCCTGCAGACTGAAGGGTCCCAGGTTTGATTCCAGTCAAGGGCACACGCCTGGGTTGCGGGCTCGATCCCCAGTAGGGGGGATACAGGAGGCAGCAGATCAATGATTCTCTCTCATCGTTGATGTTTCTCTCTCTCTCGCCCCTCTCCCTTTCTCTCTGAAATCAATAAAAATATATATTTTTAAAAAAGACATAAAGAACTTGCTGTGGGAAAATATATGTGAGAGAGTCTACCTAAAAAAATCCCCTTTGGGGAAGTCATCACTTAAATTATGAAAAGGGCTTTATAAATCCAACTAAGCCTGCTCTGCATAAAAACGGCGATTGCTGCCCTGGCTGGGTGGCTCAGTCGGTTGAAATGTGCCATACAACAAAAGGTCTTGGTTCAATCCCCGGTCAGGGCACGCACAGGAGGCAACCAATCCATGTTTCTCTCTCACATCAATGTTTCTCTCCATCTCTCTCTCCCTCTAAAATTAATAAAAACGGAAAAGCTTCAAGTTAAATAAGGATTGAAGAAAGTGGTAAACAGCACTCAGTGTATACTCCTGGGTTAGTAACGGGAATATTGTCCTGCACCTAGAGTCCTGGCAGCGAGAAAGAAGATTGTAAAGGATGCACCTCCTCTCACGTGGGCCCGTGCAGAGCTGGCATTTCACCTTGAGACACGTGGAGAATAAAAGTCCGGTCAGAAAATGACCGTCTTCCCTTTAGAGACTCAAAATAAACTGACAACAAAAATCACATATGTACTGCACCGAACCCGAACTCCAACGCGGGGCTGCAGTGGGAGCAACACGTGAATCTGAAACACAACTTTCTCCGTCTCCCTCTCAGACCTGCCCCTGCCCCTGCATGAACACGCGGGTCCAGGGCGTCCCCGGCCATGAGATGACAGGAACTAGAGGTGCACAGTCCCAGTGAACGTGGACACTTCTAACTCGATGAGTTAAACCTCCTCCTCGCACCCATCTGGCAGGTGCATCTGGCCCTCCGTGGCTCAGGCTGGAAAGTGCTGATCTGAACAGCTCCATCCCAGGTGGCTATTGTATTGGGGGTCAACCAGATGTTTAAACTGCGCTCTGAGTCTGTGAGTTCTTCAGAGCCCCCACGGGACCCAAGTGTACTGCCCTGAGGCACCGTTGCCCTCCTTCTACCCAGAACCCACCCTTCTACCCCTCTCTCTCTCTCTTTTAAAAAAATATATTTTTATTGATTTCAGAGAGGAAGGGAGAAGGAGAGATAGAAACATCAATGATGAGAGAGAATCATCGATTTGGGCTTCCTGCACGCCCCCTACTGGGGATGGAACCTGAAACCGGGGCATGTGCTCTGACCGGGAATCGGACCGTGACCACCTGGTTCATAGGTCAACATTCCACCACTGGGCCACTCTGGCCTGGCTCCTCCCTCATCTCTTTGCCCCCCACCCCCCACCCCAGTTCCTGTCTTGTCTAAAACCTGGCTGCACTCGATTCCTTGGCTCGGGCTTCCTCACCAGGGGACAGCTGGAGCAGCCCCTCAGCCCTCTGCCCACCACAGGCCGCCTCTCAGTCTGCCCCCACACTGGCAGCTCTGTCCCACACGGCTCCGCTCAGAAGCCTGCAACCACCCCTTTTCCTGCCAAACCAAGTTCCCGCTCCTGGTCTGCCATCCGTATCCTATTGCACACGCCCGTCTTGTCTCTCCTCGTCGTCCTCCTCATCCTCGTCCTCCGTTCCACTCCCCTTTTCTCACATTCGAGGGCAGGCGGACCTCTCGGCCTTCCCAAACAGCCCGCGCCCACCAGCCCCATCTCAGCTCCTTAAAGCCTCCCCAATGTTCAAGTTCCTCTAAAGCCGCTGTGAGAAGCTGACCTCTGCTCTCCCCAAACAGAAGGGAGGGCTTCTTTGTCTGGCCCTCCCGATATGTTCGCTTGCCCCTGCCCTCCCTGCGGGACTGCGGCTCTCTGTGGACAGGCCTCCGGTGCCTGGCTGGGCTGAAGTCCCGCAGGGCGAGACCCGCCACCGTGCGCCATGCATGGCAGGTGCCTGGTGACACTTGTTGAACTCAATGACTGGGACCCACTGAGCGACGTTTACTGGAACACGGGAAAGAGGAAAGTGAAGGCAGCCGGGGCCTCCACATCACCATGTGCCTGTGTCTGGGCTCGCTTCTCTGTCCCCCAAGCCTGCTGGGTCCCATGACTTTCTTCCAACAGGCGCAGAGGCTCTGCCTGTCCAGGAGGCTTCCATGGCCGCGTTTACAAGGTGTGGACTCTCCTTGGTTCCCTGAGTCGGGCACATAAATGAACACGGTCCCAGCATTAACTTGAACCTCTAACCCCTCCACGCGCTAAAGTTATAGCAGATGAAACACCTCATGTTGGTACAAGTTGGCACAAGACGAGGTGCACTGACAGTCCCCTGTCCTATCAGCCTCCATGTGACAAAGAACCATGTCAGTTTCTCCTTGAAATTCTAGACAATGCTCTTTACAAAAGCAGCAGAATTCACGCCCCTCAGCAAACCCTGAGGCCAAAGCTACACACATCCCTTCGAGCTGCTGCTCGGAAAAGCAGGGCACGTCTGCAGTCCTTCTGGTAAAGAGGAGGCAGCACGCGGACCTGATCACTAGACCTCCAGAGGCCAGGCCAGTGGGGGATCTCCACCAGCCAGCCCTCCGCCACTGCAGGGCCTGACAGCCAAAGCACCACAAAGAGAGAAGAAAATTCCTAGCCGGAGTCCAGAGCACTCGAAATGGCTCCTCCCCATTTCTGAGCGACTGTGCTGGGAGCTGCGATCCCAAGTGGCATCTGCGAGGAGGAGCCCCCTTCCCCGAGGCTCTGGGTTTGATACAAGATGAGGCTGCAGCTGCCATAGCTATAGACACCAAGCGGAGTCCTCTTTCCGTCCGAGGAACCGCGACCTACATACAGCCAGGGCCGCGCGGAAAAAGGCTGCCAGTGTCTCAGTCTTCCTGAAGCTCAGCGGGGAAGTGGCTGGAGGGAGGGCACGGGAAGCTGAAAGCATGCATTTCACAGCAGAAAAGGAATGGGCGATGGTGGCACCGGACCAAACCTGCTAACGGATGCACAGCCTTCGGAACGGCCCCTGCTCCCACGCACATCCCTGCGAGCTGAGTTCCGACGTGATGATTGAATGTCTATTGTAAACTGCCAGCTCCCTGTGCTTAGAGTTGAAGAAGGGCCTTCCAGGTAATGAGTAGGAAGTGAAGCACTGCCAAGGATGGGAAGGAGTTCTTTCAGTTCCAATGGCAATCTTCTCAACTCACACACACTCACACACACTCACAC